CGAGCTCCGCATGCCGTGCCATGCTGTGAGCTCCACACACTGTGCCATGCCATGAGCTCCGCACACCGTGCCATGCAGTGAGCTCCGCACGCCGCGCCGTGCCGCGAGCTCCAGCGTGACACCGTGGCGTGAGCTCTGCATGTGACACCATCTCATGAGCTCCTCACATGGCATGATATCCTAAGCTCCTCATGTGGTGCCATGTCAGGAGCTCCTCACGGCAACATGTTATGAGCTCCTCATGTGGTGCCATATTGCGAGCTTCTCACATGGAGCCGTATTATGAGCTCCTCACACAGAGCCATGTCATGAGCTCCTCACATGGAGCCATATCATGAGCTCCTCACACGGAGCCATGTCATGAGCTCCTCACATGGAGCCATATCATGAGCTCCTCACACGGAGCCATGTCAGGAGATCCTCACACGGAGTATGTCAGGAGATCCTCACATGTTGTGAGCTCTTCACATAGTGCCATGTCATGAGCTCCTCACACGGTGCCATGTCTCGAGCTCCTCACACAGAGCCATGTCCAGAGCTCCTCACACGGTGCCATGTCACAAGCTCCTCACACGGTGCTATGTCCAGAGCTCCTCACACGGTGCCATGTCCGGAGCTCCTCACACGGTGCCATGTCACGAGCTCCTCACACGGTGCTATGTCCGGAGCTCCTCACACGGTGCCATGTGCCGGGTGGCCCGTGAGGAGCCACCTCACGCTGCCCATGTTGTGCAGCCCTCCAAGGAGTTCGACGAGGACTCGCTGATCCCCAGCAGCCCCGCGACGGAGACCTCGGACAACATCAGCCCYGTGGCCAGCCCCGTGCACACCGGGTGAGTGCCCAGCCCCTCATGACCGGCCCCAGCAGTGGCACCTCATGGGGCTGCAGCTCCCCATCCTGCGCCACCCTCTCCGCTCGCCCCGCAGGTTCCTCGTGAGCTTCATGGTGGACGCGCGCGGCGGCTCCATGAGGGGCAGCCGGCACCATGGGCTGCGCGTGGTGGTGCCGCCGCGCAGCTGCGCCGCGCCGACCCGCATCACCTGCCGCCTCGTGAAGCCGCACAAGCTGCCGGCGCCGCCGCCGCTCGCCGAGGAGGAAGGCCTGGCCAGCCGCATCATCGCCCTGGGGCCCGCGGGCGCCCAGTTCCTCAGGTGGGCATGGCCCGGGCGCTGGGTTGGTGCCGAGCGGGTCCGTGCCGGGCTCACCGTGTGGYGGTGCCGCCCGCAGCCCGGTGATGGTGGAGATCCCGCACTTCGCGTCGTGCGGGCGCGGCGACCGTGAGCTCGTGGTGCTGCGCAGCGAGAAYGGCTCCGTGTGGAAGGAGCACCGCAACCGCTACGAGGACAGCTACCTGGAGCAGCTGCTGCACGGCATGGATGAGGGTGAGCGCGACGGCGTGTGGGCAGCGTGGCCTTGGCGGCTCGCTCCAATGGGGACCCTCATCCTGGTCTCTGTGCTGCTCTTGYAGAGCTGGAGAGCCAGGAGGAGCTGGAGAAGAAGAGAATCTGCCGCATCATCACCACAGATTTCCCTCTCTACTTCGTGGTCATGTCCCGCATTTGCCAGGACTGCGACCTTATCGGCCCCGAGGGAGGGTGTCTGAAAAGCACGCTGGTGCCCATGGTGCAGGCCACCTTCCCAGAGACTGCCGTCACCAAAAGGGTCAAGCTGGCCCTGCAGGTGCGCCCGAGGGGCTGGAGGCCAACCGAGCTCCTGCCCAAGAGCCCTGACACCTTCCCCATGCTGCCCACAGGCACAGCCTGTGCCCGACGAGCTGGTGACCAAGCTGCTGGGCAACCAGGCCACCTTCAGCCCCATCGTCACCGTGGAGCCACGGCGGAGGAAATTCCACCGGCCCATCGGCCTCCGCATCCCGCTGCCTCCGTCCTGGAAGGACAGCCCCCGGGACAGCGGCGAGGGGGACACCACCAGCCTGCGCCTRCTCTGCAGCGTCATCGGTGAGGATGCACAGCACTCAATTGGGGTCGGGATGGGGTGGCCGCGATGGGATGCAGCTCCTGGGACCTGAGCAGATCACGGCAGGGGGGAACCTAGGAGGAAGGACATCTTGCTCAGCCTTGCTTCCTGCTGCAGGGGGCACAGCCCAAGCTCAGTGGGAAGATATAACAGGCACCACCAAGCTGGTGTATGCCAACGAGTGCGCAAACTTTACCACCAACGTGTCTGCCAGGTGAGCCATGCGCAGCCGGCGGGTAGCGGGAATCGGGGCCAACCCCGGGGGCAGCCTCTGTGCTCACGGTCACTGCCACGTTCGCATGCGCTGGGCAGGGCCACAAGTGCCTCGAGCCCCCGTTGGCACGGGGAGACACGCGTGAGGTGCGCCCCGGTTGGGCACAGCTCTGTTGGCACCGCCGGCCGGGCCGTCCCCGCAGCGTGTGTGACCCAGCCCTCGCGCAGGTTCTGGCTGGCGGACTGCCCGCGCACGGCTGAGGCCGTGCACTTCGCCTCCGCGCTCTACAAGGAGCTCACGGCCGTGCCCTACATGGCCAAATTCGTGGTGTTCGCCAAGATGAACGACGCGCGGGAGGGCCGGCTGCGCTGCTACTGCATGACGGACGACAAGGTCGACAAGACTTTGGAGCAGCACGAGAACTTCACGGAGGTGGCCCGCAGCCGGGACATTGAGGTATGTCCCCAGCAACGTGACCACTGCCCCGTGACTGGGATTGATGCCCACGGGGCCTGGCCCTGATCTAGGGGTTACCCGTCCAGCAGTGGCAGTGATAGGGCTGAGCCTGTTTGCTGCTCCCCTGCAGGTGGTRGAGGGGATGCCCCTACACGTGGAGCTCTCGGGCAACCTGGTGCCCATCAAGAAGGCCGCGCAGCCACGCACCTTCCCCTTCCAGTCGTTCCGGGAGAACCGCCTCGCCATCCCCATCAAGGTAAGGGCAGGGCCCCGGGCAGGGCGGCCCCTGCTCCTGCCCTGCACGGACCGCTCTGAGCTGCCTCTTCCTGGCCAAGGTGCGGGACAGCAGCCGGGAGGCCAGCGGCTCCCTGTCCTTCCTGCGCAAGGCCATGAAGTACGAGGACCTGCAGCACGTGCTCTGCCACCTGAACATCACCATACCGCCCTGCACCAAGGTCAGCGGTGCCCTGGGACTGCTGCGGGGAGGCAGGAGACCCTTTCCCTGCTGCGGGCCTGGCCGGGCTCCCTGCGCCCGCGGCGGCTCCAAGGCTGTGCCGTTTCGGGAGAGGCGGCTGTGCCCGGGCAGAGCTGCGGCACGCTGGTAACCCCCGGCCCCGTGCCCCCGCGCAGGGCAGCGGCAGCGAGGAGCGGAGGAGGACGCTGACGCCGTTGGCTCTGCGGGAGCGCTACAGCATCCTCAGCGAGAGCAGCCTCGGTACGGCGCCCGCGGGCCTCCGCATGCCCCGTGTCACCCGCTCGCAGGGCTAGGGGTGCCCGGGTGCATCCCGTCGCACCCACAACCCAGGGCAGGTTCCCTTTCCCTAGTGCTTCCCTCAGCCCTGCCCTGCGGGGCCCCGCAAGGCAAGTGCAATGCCCATGAGTCTGCGTAGAGCCCCGCACGTGGCAGCCCCTTTGCCCCTCGCCCGGTGTGGGGCCCTGCACGGCTGAAGCTGGGGCTGCCCTCTCGCCACACAGGTTCGCTGAGCAGCACGGACAGGGCGGACCAGAAGATGGTTGATATCGCGGAGCAGCTGGGCCTCAGCTGGGCAGGTGAGCTGGCACCGCGCAGCCTCGTGCACAAGCCTCCTCCCAAACTTGGCACTTCCAAAGGCTGGAAACACGCCCAGCTCCTGCAGCTTCTGCCCTGCTTGGCTGCGTGCTGCATCCGCTGGCTCTGGCGGATGAGCGGAGCCCCTCGCAACATCCATAGCCTCGTGGGCTCAGGAGCTGGTGCCCGAGTGCGGGGCTTAGCTGTGGTGTCTTCCACCAGAACTGGCCCGGGAACTGCAGTTTGGGGTGGAGGACATCAACAGGATACGAGTGGAGAACCCCAATTCCCTGCTGGAGCAGAGCATGGCTTTACTGAACCTCTGGGTCAGCCGCGAGGGCAAGAACGCCAAGAGTGAGTCCCCGCCGTGCGCAGCGCCGGTTCTGCCCCTGGGGCTGCTCAGGGCTGCACTTGGTCCCAGCAGCGCCCGCCCCACATCTCTGGGAGCAAGCGGGGCCGGTGCCCTCGGTGGGGCTGTGCCGGGTGGCTGTGCGGGGCCTCGTGCACGCTCGTGCTCCCACACAGAGGCTGCGGTTAGGCGGGTGTTTCCCGCTCTCCCCTGCCTGCCTTGCCCACCCCGCCTTCCCCCCGCAGTGGAGAGCCTCTACGCGGCGCTGAGGAACATCGACCGCAGCGAGATCGTGAGCACGCTGGAGGGCTCGGGGCGCCAGAGCCGCAGCCTCAAGGGCAGCCGGCGCTACACGGACAGGGACTACTCCCTCTCGCCCTCGCAGATGAATGGTGAGTCCTGGGCCCCTGCTGGCACGGGGGGCGCCCCACGAGAGCTCGGAGGTGACCCGGGCCCGCCGGCTGCAGGCGAGGCGCTCAACCGGGGCCGGCGTCCCCGGCGGTGCAGGCAGACGGACGCAGCCGCCGCGCCGGGCTCAGGTGGAAATCCGCCTTCCCCGGAGCTCTCCGGGCGCGCCAGGCACTACCGCATCCTCATCCCGCTGCCGGGGAGGAGGGATGCGCCCGGACGTGGCCCCGAGCGAGGCGCACGGGGGTGGGCTCAGCTGCAGGGATGGGCACTGCCTCGTGCCGCTCCGGCTCATCGCGCTCTCCCCTTCTTCTGTGCTCTCTCAAACACGCCACGCAGCGCCCTCAGGTGCGGCCACTTCCGTGGGTCACTTCTTGTCACCTCTCTCCTCTGAGCTCATCCCGGCCTCTCCTTCTCTCATCCTCCTCCGCTGCCTGTCTCCACTGTCTCCACCTCAGCTGAGCCCTCCGGGAGCCGCGTCCAGCTGTGGCGAGCGCCCGTCCGCAGGGGCTGCCCCGCAGCAGCCCGTCCGCAGGGGCTGCCCCGCAGCAGCCCGTCCGCAGGGGCTGCCCCGTGCATGGCTGCGCGGCCCCGCAGCAGCCCCCAGCCGCCTCTCCCGCCTCCGCTCTGCCTTGCGCCCTTCCCGGCGAGCTGCCGTGCACGGCTTGCTCCCAGCGGGAGCCCCGTCCGCCTGCGCTGCTGCCGCCCATTCCCGCCTGCCTGCAGAGCAGGACGAGCCTCGCCGGGGCAAAAGCGGCACAGGGCTGTCGAAGGCCCCCTGCCCGGGTGGCGATGCCACGTTGCGCGCCGAGGCTCTCCGCTCTGCCACGAGCTGGTGGCTGCTGGTAGCCCCAGAGGTGCAGCCGGGCTTGCAGGCATGCGCCAGGGCCCCSGAGCAGCGGCGCGCGCCCCGGTGCTCGGCCGCGCCATGCAGGAGGGTGAGCTGCAATCACGGGCGCCCTCGGGTGCCTCGGGCCAGCACGCGGCGGCTGCGGTGGCCAAGCAGCCCTGGGAGCTCTGCCCGCCACAAACGGTGCCCTTAGCACCCCAGGGCTGGCCCGGCTCGGATTCGGTGCTCGGAGGGGACATTGTGGCTTGCGGGGGTAAGAGGGACCGAGCGAAGGTGCCAGCYGCCCTGCTCAGCCCGGGGCCAGCGTGGCCAGCAGAACGCTGTCCCCAGGGAGGCTCCCCATGCCGAGGCTGCTCGCTGCACCCCGCTTGCGTGCGCCGCAGAGACGGCTGCCGCAGGTGTCGCCTCTATCTGCCCATGTAGGTTATGCTTCGCTGCAGGACGAGCTGCTGTCCCCTGCCTCCCTGCATTACACGCTGCCATCCCCGCTGCGTGCCGACCAGTACTGGAATGAGGTGGCCATCATGGATGCCATCCCCATGGCTGCCACCGAGCAGGACGCCCTGATGGAGATGTCCGACATGCAGGTGTGGTCCTCGGGGCTCACGCCGTCACTGGTGACTGCTGAGGACTCCTCTCTGGAGTGCAGCAAGGCCGAGGACTCGGACGCCACAAGYGAAGGCCGATTCCCGGGTCAGCTCCTGGCGGATGCGCATGGCCCAGACCACCTGGGCTCCATGGACCTGGTTGAGGATGACACAGTGGACTCAGATGCCATGAACGGCCTGATTGACCTGCTAGAGCAGGAGGAGGGTCCGAGGCCGGAGGGGAAGACGCCGCYCGGGGACTGCCAGCCGCGGACAGACGGGCAGGAGGCCGCGGAGAGTGAAGTCTCTTTCGTTTCAGTGCAGCAGAAGGTGCAAGCCCGGATCACGTCATCGCCCACTGTGAGCCACATTGCTGAGAGGAGCGAGGACAGGTAATGCGGCCCGGGGTGCCGGCGAGGCCGTGGGAGGGGAGCGGAGCTGCGTGCACCGCTATTGCCGCATGCTGGGCGAGCTGCGGGCATCGCCCAGCCCGGCTGGCTCCGGCGCGGGGCTCCTGCAGTGGCTGAGCCCCTGGCACCTCCCTGGAGATGCTCTGTGGGGCTCCTTGCAGAGCCCGCRCAGCCGACCGGGCCTCGAGTGTAGGTCAGAGCCAGCTCAGCCCGTGCCACCTCCTGCCGTGCCCTCGGTGGCACCAACCCCGCTGCGGTCCCCAGCAGGGCCTGCTGGTGCTGCCTTAGACCCCACTGCAGGGCAAGGCGCAGGGCCCGGAGACAGACAGGGGACAGGCCGGGAGCGTGGGGACAGGAGCCTTGGCATCGCATCCCGTCCTTTGGGGAGGTGCCTTTGCCCCTCATCCCGTCTTTTTGGGAGGTGCCTTTGCATCTCATCCCACCCTTTTAGGAGGTGCCTTGGCATCTCATCCCATCCCTTTCGGAGGTGCCTTGGCATCTCATCCCGTCTTTTTGAGAGGTGCCTTTGCATCACATCCCACCCTTTTAGGAGGTGCCTTTGCATCTCATCCCATCCTTTGGGGAGGTGCCTTTGCCCCTCATCCCGTCTTTCTGGGAGGTGCCTTTGCATCTCATCCCATCCCTTTYGGAGGTGCCTTTGCATCTCATCCCGTCTTTTTGAGAGGTGCCTTTGCATCTCATCCCATCCTTTGGGGAGGTGCCTTTGCATCTCATCCCGTCTTTCTGGGAGGTGCCTTTGCATCTCATCCCATCYCTTTCGGAGGTGCCTTTGCATCTCATCCCGTCTTTTTGGGAGAGCAGGCGCCTTTGCCCCTCATCCCGCTGTTTTCCAGGCCCTGGGTTGGTGGGAGGCGGCGCGGATGGAGCCGGGGGCGCGGGCTGGTGCCCCGCGGCGCGGCGAGTGCGCGGCAAAGCTGACTGCGTGTCTCTCTCTGTCTCTCTCTCCCTGTCCCTGTCCCTCTCCGGTGCCCAGGCTGAGGGACTGGAATGCAGAAGGCTCCTTTATCTCCTGCCTACAGGACGTGGCAGCGGGCTCCTGGCAGGAGGGGGTCACCCACGGGCTGCGCCTCACCCACGCTACGGCCACCGGGGTGCGGGGCCAGGAGCAAGAGCAGGTGCTGGCGCCAGGCGTGGAGCCCGTGCGGATGAGCTCCGCGGAGGACAGCGAGCGGCCGCCCCGGCGCTCCGCGGGCCAGGCCCACGGCCGCTGGCAGCAGGACGCCGAGAGCAGCTTCCCTGCGCRGCGGAGGGTAAGAGCCAGGGGAGCTGGAGCCCGGGCTGCAGGATGGAGGTCCTGGCGAGCCCCCTGCCTCCGCCGGGGCCTCTGCGGCCCGGAATAGCCGGCTCCGCGTGCCAGCGCCCGCGCTCCATTTATAACCTCGCCGGCACCCGGCTCGCTTCCCAATGGAGCCTCTCCCTCGGCCCCCGGCCAGGAGCTGCCGGCACGGTGTGCCCAGAAATAGAGCTGCCCTCGGGGCAAGGCGGGTGCCAGGCGCCCTGCGCGGGACGGGGCGGCACACGCTGGCTGCTGCTCGGCTCCGYGGTGTCACTTGTGACACCCGGGGCACTGGATCTGCCCCAAGGGCCGAGCTGGCCCCGGGCACCCTGCTGAGGCCGCACATGCCATCAGCGCCGGGTTCAYAGGGAGACGGGGACGGGGCTGTCGCCGGCGGTGACCGCAGCGCTGCTGCCGCCCCTCCTGTCACCTCTGACAGCTCAGGCGGGAGGGAGAGCAAAGGCCACCCCAGCGGGTGCCTCCCGTCCCCGCGGACAGCTGCTCGGCGCAGCTCGGGTTACCGGCCGCGCTCAGTGGCTGGCGGGGCCGCGCGCRCCGGGGGGCTCCAGCCCCATGGCAAGGGTCTGAGCGGCAGGCCGGGGGCCGCCGGGCGGCATGTGGGCTCTGCTGGCACAGCTGCTCATCGCCCTGGTGCTGCTGGCCTTCTTCCTGGTCAGCTGCCAGAATGTGCTGCACATCGCCCGGGGCTCCGTGCGCTTCCTGCTCCGGCACGCTCACCGCGAGCTGGACAAGGAGCTCGGGGAGAGCCGGGGGCTGGCGGACGACGAGGAGTCGTTCTCCACCAGGGTGGTGCGCCGGCGCGTCCTCGTGAAGGTAGCGGCACGGGGCGGCCAGGAGGACAGCGGGGACCCGGTTGCGCCTCAGCGAGTTGTCCCGACGCAAAGGGACCCCCCCTGAGAGACCCCCCTGTCCCTCTCTTGCTGCAGGGGAATGAAGTCCTCAATGTGCCCGGAGAGGAGGTGACGGAGGAGCAGTTCACCGACGACGAAGGCAATATCGTCACCAAGAAGGTGAGTGGCCGGGGCAGGGGGCTGGCGGTGGGCACGCTGCAGTGCCCGCCGCTGCAGGGCATGGCCACGGTGCTGCTCCAAGTGGACTCTGTGCGGGATGCAGGGTACGGCATGCAGGG